GCCTCTGGTAGAGGACCCGAGATTGAGGAAGACATATACCACCCATAGGGGTGAGAGGGGATTTTTTATATATATAAACTATTAATATAAAACTTTGTTTATATATAATACTGTTATGTATCAAACTTCGTCTGCTATTTCTTTTCTATGTTATGCTTCTTGGACTGTGATCCATAAAGGTGTTTTTGGGCACAAACTTGGTTTATATCTATTCCATATTCTCAATATGGCATGTCTAATAAAATGATTTTTGAAGTCCACATTAATTTCAACTTTATCGTACCATAAATATCCATGCCATCCAAATCTCATGTTGTGATTTTCTAGCTCTAGAAGTCTTTTGTTTCTCAGCAACATCCATTCTTTCATCAGACCAAACAACTAGCAGCAAAATACAATTTCAAATCCAGTAAACCCAATCCTCCTCTTTTCTTTGAATCTTATAATACTTTACATTTAACTCGTGGTTTTTCCCTTGACTTATAAATTTAGATATACCTTTCTATCATTGTTTAAATGGTACATAAGTTGTCATCTGAAACAACATAATTCTTGGCAAAACATTCATTTTTACCACAGAGATTCTCCCCAACAGTGACAATTTTAATTTCTCCCATCATAACATGTCCTTCTTAATTTCAGTCCATGTCTTAACATAATCATTTTGAAATAGCATACAATTCTTATTTGTCATAGTAATACCCAAGTATTTTACTTTTTTTCTCAATCTTAAAACCAGTTTTCTTCATCATTTCTATTTGATCTTCTAATTTCATATTTTTGTTAACATCTTTGTATTCTGATTGTTAATCTTAAAACCTGCTAACATACCAAAGTCCTTTAATTTTCCCATTAACATTTCTACTCCCTCTAGTGGATCTTCCAAAACTAACATAAAATCATCTGCAAATGCCCTTAACTTATAAGTGTCTTTTTTGATCTTAACTCTCCTAATTCTCTCATCTTGTCTTATGTCTCTATTCAGTACTTCAAGGACTAAAATGAACAAAAGTGGAGACAGTGGACATCCTTGTTTTGTCCCTTTTTGAATCTCATAAGATTTTGTTCTTCATTAACAATTATTTGTGCTTTCTGAGAAGTGTAAATCAATCTTACCCATTTAATAAAATTATCTCCAAGGTTCATATGTTCCAGAACTCTAAACAAAAAAGTCCAGTTCAAATTGTCAAAGGTCCTCTCTGGATCTAAGAATATCAATACAGCTTGTTTTTCATTATGGTCCTTCAAGTATTCCAAAATACCCAAAACATTTCTAATATTATCTCGTAATTGACTTTTAAGTAAAAATCCACATTGGTCTTCATAAATAAAATCATGTAAAATTATCTTCAACCTTTCCGCCAAAATCATGATAAACAGTTTACTGTCATTATTCAATAACAATATTGGTTGACAGTTTCTCATTAAAGTCAAATCTTGTCCCTCTTTAGGTATTAATGCTATATTAGCCTCTTTCCGGCTGTCAGGAATCTTTCCATTCTATAGAATAATATTCATCATTTGTTGTAAAGGTTGTAAAATCATCCTGAAAATATTTATAGTAAGAGGCTGTCAATCCATCTCAACCAGTTGCCTTTCCTGTTTTAATAGTTTCACACAGTTCTCTTATTGTTATAGTTCCATTCAAAATTTGTCTGATTCTCTATAATCTTTGATAAATTCTATTTATATAAATATTCATCTACTTTTTCCAAGGAAATTTCTTGTTGTTTCTGTACTGTAAAGTTGTATAATACTGGTGAAACACTTTTTACATTATTTGCATTATCTGTTATTACAGTATTACCTTCTTGTAACTTTAATATCACTTTCTTTTATTTTTCTTTTTACAACTTGTATGCCAACCATTTCTCCGGTTTATTTGCAAATTCAAAATGTCTTTGTTTTGGTTCATCTTTATTTCCATCTCTCTCACTGTTAACATAGATAGTTTCCTCTGTAATAGCATAATTTGGTGAGTGACAGTTGTCTTCCCTGGGCATTTTTTTAATTCTTCCTTTTTATTAAACTTATCCAAAATCATTTGTATTTTCTCTTGCCTTTTCTTTCTAAATTCACTATTACATTGTATAAAATATCATCTTACAAAAGCTTTACTTGCATTCCAAACCATCCTTCTGTGCCTTTATTAAGATTATTCTCAAAAAAATTCCTTTAACTTCTTTTTACAGTCCTCCACTACCATTTCCTTTTGTAACATCTCATCCATTCTCCACCAATAAGATCAGTTTTTCCTTTTAAAAGTCAAAGTCACTGGATGTGATCTGAAAATGTCTTTGGTAATGTCTCTACTTTATAAATATTATTAGCCAAAGTTTTAGAAATCCAAATCACATCTATTCTTGAAAAAGATCTATGTCTTTCAGAAAAATAAATATATTCTTTTGAGTCACCATTTTTATACCTCCATGCATCAACAAGCTCCAAATTATTCATTAAATTTAAAAAAATACCAACTTTGGTAGTTTACCCTGTGTATTTTTACTATTTTTCTCAGAAGTTCTATCTTTTTGTGGGAAACCACTCAATTCCAATCTCCAAAGGGGGCACCGATTTTATACGTAAAATCCAATAATTTATTCATTAATCCTTTATAAAATGCTGTTTTATCTTCATTTGGGGCATAAATTCCCAATATCAAAGTCTTAGCCCCCTGTAGATTAAGTTCCACCCCAACATATCTGCCATGATCATCAGTCAGTATAACTTTTGGATATAGTTGAGCATTTATATATAAAACAATTCCATTTTTTTTTCAATCCTTCTCAAATAAATTCTCCCAAATTTTTGTGACTCAGATATTTTGCATCTTTTTTCTTAGTCACATTGTGTTTTAACTTTTTCAAATAATGATCTCCTGAGAGATTTTCGTCAGGCAGAACCTGGTTCCTGGCTGACTATTCCACCGCAGTGTTGTCCCCATTCATGGAGCTGCTTGCAGGGACATCTAACCCACCATCAGTCCTCAGGAGTTTTCTTTCCCAGTGAAAGAGATTTCTGTTTACTGTCTTATTTTCAGAATGCTTAAGAATTTTTTTTCAAATTTCACTTGGGGAAACTGTTTTTTTTTTTTGTTTTGTTTTGGCAACAATTTATATACTGCAGAGTTTCTTAAACTTTCCTGGTTCCAGCACCCTTAATGTCACAGTATTTTTTTCGCATGGCCCTAGCAGTTCCCAATCTGTATACTGCAGAGGACTCACTAATAGTTCCCATTGATTAAGTAGCAAAATATCCTACTGCACACCTGTGAGTTTGCTGGGGCATCCTGGGGCACTGCAGTGCATAGTTTGGGAACCATGGATATGCTATGAATGCAATAGTCTATGTAAATGTCAAAATATACCTTTAACCACCTCCAAAACTGCTTCTGATCCTCAAGCATCATTTAAAGTGGTGCTTTGTATATCTGGAAATATCAGCTTCTGCTGAAGTGCAAATGAAACCATTTGTTTTTGCTGCTTATAAGGTATCAGAGTACCGTAGTGTTAATTTTTTCCTGTTCTCAGAACAAACTCAAAGTGTGTGAAAGTCAAATAAATAATAGCATAAAGATATTTTCTGCTTGTTCATTATAAATGCTTGGATGAGTTCTTTTAAAACAAGAATGATTATAAACATTTCAGTAAGCAAAATGTTGTTTTCCATCTGAATATTTCTCTGGTGAAAAAAAATAGAGCTATTGTGGCAAATATATAAGAAAGTCATAATGCTGCTTCTGTTATTTTATTTAAAAAGCAATACACCATTTTAATTATTTTAGTCTGAAAAGCTGGCTGTATTCCTTTCAAACTGCCTCTCATTTTTATTTGTAGATCACAGTATTTATCAGACACAATTTTTAACAGACTTGTGCAAGAAATGCCTGCATCCCAATATTAAAGTATAAACTTCAGCAATGAACAGTGAAACAAAAATAATTTTTGTGTACCTGCATGTAACCCACATTACTGAGCATTATATATGATACAGTTTGGGTTGGTCTAGTGAGAAGAGGTCCTCTGTATTTCCCTTTGCATGCTTGCTCGAAACCAAGCTGTGTGTTAACAGTTAACAGGGATGTTAGCATAATCATTCTGCAAGTCTGTAGATGAGGGAGGTGATTATCACTAGGAACAGATGGGCAGAGTCCAAAGCGTTGCCAGATCCTGCACCAGCTACATTTTACTGTAGGTTTTGCTCTAGCATTTCTTTCTTTCTTTTAAAACAAAGTCTTGGTTTTATTCCTGTGCCATTTTTTAAAGCTGGCTAACTAAAGGTTTTTGACTGATGAGTCTGCTGGCTAAGTGTTCAAATGTAGACATGGTGCGTTTGCATGCTGTCACTCGTCTCCCTGAATGGATGGAGCAGATGTCATATTATACAGTAACCTCCCTGAAACCTATGGAAGGCTTTCTCTGCAAGCAGGGTGCTGCTGTTCTCTGCCTCTTCCTGTAGCTTCTTGTGGATTATATTGTGTCTGTTACCAGAAATGATATTCTCTGAGATGAGCACGCTTTCTGGGTCCCCTAAGGTGCACCCTCCTAATGGAACTCGGTTTTATACTTTCCAGGTAAGCGAGTTTTTATTACTAATGCTAGGAAGTTAATTGCTGCTAAAAAGTTCAGAAGAGTGTAAGTTAAATCCGATCTTTTAAAAGACTCATCAACAAATAGTGGGAAATTAGATTCAGTTTGCAGAATGGGTTGGATCACTTGAGGTTACTGGTATCATTTGGTGTTACTGTTTTAGGGAAAAAGTGTATCTTTATACTGAGTGGTAAGAATATTTATGAAATAGGAACAGTATTCTAATAATACAAACTATCTTCATTGAAAGTTTGCATGTTGCATACTAAGAAAGGAAAATAAGATAGTTGCAATCTTTACCTCCCTTCTTTCTCAGTTAATGATGCCTGATTTTTACTGGGGGGGGCGGTTGGGAGGGCAGAAACAGATCTGCAGAAGTGTAATATGCATCCCCCACTCCCCTAGGATCTGGCTTTCTAACCTACAGCCAAGTTCAGCTAAAATAAAGGTTCTTCTGTGCTATAGGAAGGTAACAAAATTTTTGTATTTTCTTGATGAGATGCCAATCTGTCATTTTCTAAACTCTCTTCCATTATCTGAATAAATAGACCCCTTAATGCTTGATTTAAGAGATATATATGATTATGCCTCAGTACATACACATGCACACACAGATGCATAAACACCAGTTTTTCCCCAGCTTCTCAATTATCCAGCACAGCGATCCACTTTTATCATATAAAATAACAATACCCTTTTAATTTCATCACCTTAATATGTTCGGCATAGAAATAAAGCTTCCTGTGTTTCTTCTTTTAATCCATTCCTGTTTTGGCAGTCACAAAGTAATCATCTGTGGGTCTGTCATGATATAAACTTAATTGTATAAATTCTCCCAAATAAAAACAACAGTAAAGAAGCACATGGGTTATGGTATGAACTTCAGAATAATCCACTTTACCAACTGACTCTTGTATTGGTTTTAGGTCATATTCTTTTCCTTGGTTAGGATTCTATTTTTAATCCTGCCCCTTTCTACCAATAGCTGCAGGCTGTGCTAAAACAATGTGTTATCTTTCTCACAGTAATATTCTGCTGATGCTGGCAATGATTCAGAGACATGAGTATTCCAGGACTGGTCATTTACAGCTTGGTAATTTCCTCCTACCTGTGCAAGAACACAATTAAACTCTCCTTGCAGTCTTCCAACTGGATTCACATAAATTCCCAATCCATAATATGCCCCCTATACAATATACTCACCTCTCCCCCACCCTCATAATATCTGCATTCCAAATGTATCCTTAACAAGTACTTCAAAGGAAATATTACTCTATGGCTGGTTTATATGTGGTGTTAAACCTTTTTGCAGTGTGTGGGTTTGGCAGTGTGTGATGTAAAACTAATGCTATGATTTGTGGTTTATAGCACAGCATAGGGTGGATACCCAGCCAATTGTGGCATAGTCAACAAAACATGGTTAAATGTGTCTTATAACATTAGGAGGCCCAAATTATATCTCTTTATGAGTGTTTTCTTCTCAGAATGTAGAAAATCCTGGAACTTTGGTACTTGCAAGCAGAATTAATTTCTCAGATGTAAAATTTAAGTCTAATTTTGAAAATTCAGCACATTCCCCAGTATTTAGTTATGAATTTGTCTTGACAAAGCTAACTCTCACTTCTTTATGCTAAAGAGAGCTGAAGCACACTCTTATGCACAGCTAACAGTCATAACTTACAACAAACCACATAGTATGTTCCATTTTTATCAGCATATATACATCTTGAAGTTTGTTCCATCCTTAGAAAACATTCTACCAAGATACACAAATTCATTTACTTCTTGAGTTTTCACCATTTATGTATATCTTGCAATTGTTCACTCCATTTTCCCTAACATTTATTCCAGTCCTTTGGATTCTCAGCCAATGATCTAGCATACAAAATACACATTCACATCTTGAAGCCACACACTTCTAATGTCATCCCAAGAATTTATTTCACATTTATCCATAAATACATTAAACAAGATGACATCAGACATCTTTGTCATTGCTCAGTGCTGAACTATTTCCAGAGCATCCCATTTGTTCTCATAGATTCTTTATTTCTGCAGCATTCAGCAAAAAAATCTTCAACTCCAAATTTGTGGAAAGATTCCATAATTCAAGCTTATTCACTTTATCATACATTTCTCTATATCAATAAATATACAGTAAACTTGCTTTCTCACTTCATATATTTCAGTGATTTGCTGAATGTTGTCAAATAACTTTCCAGACACACTTGACAATCTACTCCCTATAGTTTTTGCATTTACTCTTTACCCTTTAATTTAATTTAATTTAATTTACCCTTTGTACAGAAATACTCCTATCAGCATTCTTTCAATTATCAGACACAGATGCAGACTTCACATGCATTAAATAATTTACACAGCCACTTTAACATTCATGTTTTAAGATTTCTCACGTTACACTATGTATACTTGAAGATAGTAATGCTAATTTCTTGGGTATTTTTTAATATTTTATTGTCTAGATTGCTGTAACTACTGGTTGTTTAGTACAGTTTTGGGTTGTCTTATAATCAGGACTTATTATTACTACTACTTCCTACAATAGCTTTTCTTTTTTAACACATTTTATTTTCATTACTTTTGGGGGACACTACCATGAATAGCATTCATTTGAATCGCACTCTTCAGCATTTCACTGCCATTCCCATACAGTTTCCTAAAATATTTTTTCCAGCATTCTGTCACTTGAATTTCATCCCAAATAATTTTTCGTTACTTTTATTTTAAATTCTAGTCATTCTGTGGAGGTTTCCTTATTCAGCCCACTTTACCCTCTCCCAGAATATATATTTTTTAATTTCCATAAAAATTGCTGTGCATTTTCTCTGCCTCTTAAAGTAAACCATTCCTTGCTCATTTGGCTACATCTTTGCAACTGTCATTTTTTCCTTTATACAATCTACAGTATCTTTCTGTCATCCTCATCTTTTAAATCCATAGCATCTTTCACTTCATCATTCCTTTTTCATACTTCTCAGTATTCAGGGCTTATGCTTTCTCTTTTTTCACTCTTCTTTCCCAACATCCCATTTTTTCCATCTCCTCTTTTTAACAATATCCACTCCTGACACCACCAAAAAATAGTCTGTCCCACATTGAGCACCTCTCAGTATCCATACATATCTCACTAATGTTTTCAGTATTTCTTCACAAGCAAACAAATCAGCCATACGTCAGGATGTATATGATTTTTGCCTTGTATATGCAGGTATAGACTTATGTTTAAACTAGGTAGTTAAAAAAAACAAAAAACCATAATTCCTTTTTGTAAGGAGAAGTCAGCATTCTCATTCATTCATTAATTCATTCATTCAGTCCTGAAAGACCTAGTCACTTTTTATATATTCTCTCACATTATCTGACAAAATGTTCCCCCCACCCCAATCCAATTCATTCAGAACATAGCATAATTTTTTTTGTCCAAACTCATCTCTGTTTTTTTTCCCCCCATGATCACCATTCACTGGAGTGCAACATGCAACTATCACCAATCTGTGGATTCCTTTCTTCATTTGCACCCACAACAATCAAGAAGATACCAATACATATTTTCTAACATGCATGTTATACCTTTTATTCCTAATTATATATCTATCTTCACATCCCTGCATATATTCTTCAACTCTATTATGGAAGGTCAGATCACCTCCATTCAGATCTGGTAATTGTTTCCCTTTTTCCTAGTTTGACAGAAATACAACAGTTGTTAATGCATGCTGTTTATCATTTACTGCTCTTACATTCCAAATCACATGCTCTTGTTGTTTTCTAGATGGTCTCATAGGTATTCACCTCAGCTACGCATAGAGGTTTCATGTATTTCTCTGTATGTAAAATAATGAAATGTAATTTTCAATAACCATTCTGAAAATACTAACTAAATTGACATTTATAATTCTGAAGTACATAGACTGAATAATTGTATGCTTTTATGTTTGCAAGTAGTTCTCTCGCCTAATGGTTAGAACTCCAAGATTATGGGCATTTGTTTTTCAATAGATCCCATACACTTATCATCTAAAGCCATATACAAAATTGTGGCTCTGGAAGGTAGAAAGAGGCTCAACACATGCTCAGCCTGGTGATTAGTTTTTAGTTCTTGAATGGCATCTTAGTCTGAGAATAACGGGTAGATCCCAATCAAGTTGTAATCTATATTCCAGCCTTTAACAAAATACTAAGGCTGTGCACCACTTCAGATTCAAAGGCAAAAAGAGTGTACAGATGACATAAATATAGCATTTGTATACTTTTTAAAGCAGTTATGTATTTTCCTGGGATCATACAGCTGCCTTCTGATTTACAAACTCTGTTATCCCACAAAGAAGATAGTAATGGTCCCTCAGTAGCAGCTTAGTAAAGTCTTCTGCCACCATTGTCTTCAATGGGATAGTACTTCATTAAGACATGCCCTTTCTCTTGCGTGGTTCTAATGTGTGGTTCTAATGTGCTTCAGTTAGTTGCTTTTAAAATTAAAGTGACAAAGCCTTAACCTGTCAAAATAATCAGGAACTTGGAAATTTCAGAATGCCTTAACAAAAGAAGCTTGCAGGGCCTCTACAGTGTAGCAGGGCCTCTACCTTGACTGTTCTGCCACATCTTAAAGACAAGATTTTATTCAATAAATATATTTCTATTGGGCTTCTGCAGGAAAGAATTCCTCCAGGGATTTCTATATGTAGCTGGAAGGTCAGGTTGTAGGAGAAATCCTCCTTGGATGTGTAAACGTTCAGACAGTGGTCTAGGCATGTGTTTTGATTACACACATGTTTTGATGCTATGGGGAGGGCGACCTAGGTTTGTCATAATACCATTTTAACATGTGTATTTGACCCAAAGAAGAAATAGCCTAAATAAGTTCATGTTTACCTTCCAGGGGCAGATGATAAATATTCACAAGTCACATTCTACTTTGAAGAGTGTTGGCCTCTATTTTAAGCTACCATATATACTTGTATATAAG